TTATTAATGATTTATAAAGGGTTTGTAGATGAATTAATAACTTATCTATAAACCATTTATAAGCCATTTCTAAAGGGAGTCTTATTGTAAAGTGGTACCAATATAACAAACAAATTAAATACAAAGGATAAAGGACAAATTGAATAAAATATATAAAACATATGTACACCACCAGTTCAATACAGTAATAAGAGAAAACCATATAGTTAGAGTGGTGCAATTAGATCCAATGATAAAGTGATCAGAAAAACAATATAATCAGGGTTGTGCAGTTTAAAAACCAGTGATAAAGTGGCCAAGGCAGAGTTATAAAGTGACGTGATTCTAAATGTTCAAGAGTCTGACGGCAGAGTGGAAAAAATTGTTCTTATGGCTGGATGTTCTGGTCCAAATGAACCAGAATGGTTAAAATTATAAATTAACTTTTTCTGTGTTTAAACYAAATGCTTCTTAAATTAACTATGTTAAAGTTTAACAGGGATGTTCTAAATCTTTTCARCAATGATTTGCTTTTAGAAACTATACCAAATTTGGTATTTGATTAACACACACATGGTTTCTGTAGTGAAAAAGGCTCTAATGGTATTTATTGATTAGTAATGTTCAACAGTTTTGTCATTTTGCATAGATTTTATRCAGTTCGACTTGTCTTGAAAAAGTTGTGCCAAAATCATTATTATTGCTAATCTAATCTGATAATAGATGTGGGTTTAAGATGTAAACGAGTTGTTTAGCATAGATCCTGTGAGTTGTAGATGCTTCATTGTGTCGAAAACATTTGTAGCCTTGTTACACAGTAAGAGCTTCTTTTAAGCTGTTGTGTTTAATGCACATGTTGGATGCAGAGAGGTTCTCTAAATGGGGTCAAGGAAAGAATATCAGCTGCAGTGGAGCACTTCCAGATGTATTCATAGGCAGCAGAGCTATTTCTGTATGCCCGACATGAGGCACTGCCATCAGGCCAACTGTAAATACACTTATGGGAGTCAGAAAACTGATTCTCTAGAAGGTTAATAGTGTAAAGTCCSACCCAGTGCACATTACTTGTTAGTGTTTGGACGTTTTGCAGCGACACCTTGAGTATGAAAATCAGATTGCCTCACAAATCTGTCGCCATTATAGTCTTTAAGAACTAAATTCTTTTTCCCCGACAGAAAAACTTTTTATTCCTTTGACTCTTTGCTTCATGCACCAGGTGAATCAGCAGGGGAAGTCACTTTTTGACACTTTCTCCATGAGTACGTCTGTGCAGCACGTTGAGCTTCTTTCATTACCRTGATCCTCCTGTACCACTCGGGAAGAGTTCACCAAAGCTACGGTTTTCCACTTTTCAGGTCACATACGTAAATACAGGAGGGCAGGTTAAAAGTGAAAGACAGGCTTTAAAATGGACTTTCTCTTCTACATATATCCGTGAGATTATGTTTTATTTATAAACCTTGCTTACGGAAATAAAGTCTGAGAGTGAATCATGGAGTAGTAGAGGGTGGACATAAAAGCGTCATCTTCTAAGACTGGAAAATAAATGGAATATGGCTTTATGTAACCCACACAATGATTTAAAGGCTTATACCTAGTATGGTTCATGTTATTATTTTGGAATACATTGAATACATTCTGCAGGAGTTTTCATTTTTCATCTTTGTTTCATAAAAAAGATGAAGTAGTTTGTTTTGTTACTTTTTTTATCATTCCTTTGTTTTCCCAGACTATCAGCATCCTTTTAACTCTACTGTTATTTAAAGTGCCTGTAGCATTAAATTTTCTTAGAAAAGAAAATAAATGCATTTTTGGAAAGATAACATTTATAGCATAATAAAAAATAAACTGCACTGCTGAGATGAACAGTTGTTGAGATATTTGCCTGTGAAGTAACAGGAAGTGATGTCAAAGGTGAATGTCTGCATGTGAACAGAGCATTTCCACAACAGCTAAAAACACAGACTGTAGAGAAGAATCTGACATTTCTTTAGATTATTTTGAGTCACTGTCAGAGATGAAGAAGAGTCAGAGTTCAAATAATATTGTTTCAATAAACAAAGACCAGGAAGTTCCTTTTCTTAAAGACTTCCCCTTTGATGTCACTTCCTGTTTCAGTTTATCTGAGCTAAGTTCAGAAGAAAATATGCCATTTATGTGACAAAATGAGTAAAACCAGGTGTATCATACCAAGTTTCCTAAATATAAAATGTTTTCATTGACATTTTGATTTGAAGGATRTGSATGTCACAGGCACTTTAAAAACACAGTAACAGTTAATAGAACTGGGACTTATTGTTTCATTTGACTGATGTGTTTTATATTTAAGCGTGAAGACCTCTGTGAAAACAGAGAAGGGGCAGGAGGTGTTGAAACTGAGCCCACTACCCAAAAAAGCCAAACGCACCTACCTGGCAATGGACAAGGACAAAGAAGTCATTGGCTACGTCGTGCCTGTTTTCAGAGCCAAGTGAGTGAGCTTCTGTTGGACTCGGGGCTGCTTTCATTGTAGCTGTCGACCCTGAATGCACCGCTCACATCGTGTGTTTTTGTTTCATTTAAGCCACGACGTGGTCCGGGGCCTGATGGAGGCGCAGGAGGATGATGTTACAGAGGAAGGGATTAACTATGTGGCCATGAGGAACCTGTTCGTCAGGGAGGCCAGGGAGGCTTTGGAGGTTCGAGTGGAGAAGAAAACGAGAACAAAGCATGTCAGGGAATCTGCAGAGCGCCTGCAGGTGGACAGGACGGTAAGTTCTTTTTAAGAGGTCGATTTAATGAACTCATTTGTAAAAGATCTGCCGTGTAACTCCCATTCTCTCTGGGTCTACTTATAGATGGAGGAGTGGTCAGAGTTTCGTAAGAAAATGAACCCTGACAGACTGACTCACCCTCCAGAGTTTATTGTCAAGCCTCGTGGGCAGACCATATGGGAGGGCAAGACGGTGAGGCTGCACTGCACCGTGGCTGGATGGCCTAAACCAAGGATTGCCTGGTGAGTCCACTAAGGCAGAAACGTGAATAAAAGAAAGATGCACAGCACGGTTTGGTCGTCAGATGATTTAATAAAAGGTTGCAATTGCAAGAGAAATGAGCAGCAAAGCGGACAGGACCGAATCAGAGGTCCGACCACGTAGCTACTGCACTAGCAACAGACAAGAAATGCATATAAATACTTCCGGGTGGAGTCCGTGATCAGCCTATCACAGTAATAMAAGCACTTCTCAGTGGAAGGTCAGCTGGAGTTCAGGGCCCATGCTCTTCATTCCTCGCCACGCACCTTTTGATCTGTTTGAGAACAAGAAGAAGAAGAACACCATCAAGCTTTACGTCAGGAGAGTCTTCATCATGGACAACTGCTAGGAGCTCATCYCAGAGTACCTGAACTTCATCYGYGGCGTCGTGGGCTCAGAAGACCTGCCCCTCAACATCTCCAGAGAAATGCYACAGCAGAGCAARATCCTGAAGGTCATCCGCAAAAACATCATCAAGAAGTGTTTGGAGCTGTTTGCAGAACTGGCTGAGGACAAAGACAACTACAAGAAGTTCTACGAGGGGTTCTCAAAGAACATTAAGCTGGGCATCCACGAAGACTCTCAAAACCGCAAGAAGCTGTCAGAACTGCTTCGCTACCACAGCTCCCAGTCTGGAGACGAGACCACCTTTTTGACAGAGTACCTGACCCACATGAAGGAAAACCTGAAGTCCATCTATTACATTACTGGTGAGAGCAAGGACCAGGAGGCCAACTCTGCCTTCGTCGAGCGTGTCYGCAATCGTGGCTTCGAGGTGCTGTACATGACCGAGCCCATCGACGAGTACTGCATCCAGCAGCTGAAGGAGTTTGAYGGTAAGACCCTGGTCTCTGTCACCAAAGAGGGCCTTGAGCTGCCAGAAGACGAGGAGGAGAAGAAAAAGATGGAGGAAGACAAGGCCAAATACGAGAACCTCTGCAAGCTCATGAAGGAGATCCTTGACAAAAAAGTAGAAAAGGCGACCGTGTCCAGCAGGCTGGTGTCCTCTCCCTGCTGTATCGTGACGAGCACCTACGGCTGGACGGCCAACATGGAGAGGATCATGAAGGCCCAGGCGCTGAGGGACAACTCCACCATGGGTTACATGATGGCCAAGAAGCACCTGGAGATCAATCCTGACCACCCCATCATGGAGACACTAYGGCAGAAGGCTGAAGCTGATAAAAACGACAAAGCTGTCAAAGACCTGGTGGTGCTGCTGTTTGAGACGGCCCTGCTGTCCTCGGGCTTCTCCCTGAACGATCCACTGACCCACTCCAACCGCATCTACAGAATGATSAAGCTGGGGCTGGGCATCGACGACGACGACGTTCCAACAGAAGAGGCCGCCTCCACATCCGTCCCAGAGGAGATGCCTCCCCTGGAGGGTGACGAGGACGCTTCACGCATGGAAGAAGTCGACTAAACTCCCCTCCCCTGACACTTGGCTCATCTTCCAGTAGTTTTAAAAGTGCAGTAACTGTAAATTAATTAATCATTCCTGTGGTGTGGAGGACCAGTGTTCTTGCTACTGGAGCCTTGCGCTGCTAAACCTTTCTTTTTTTGAGAAAACATTTCCTTTGCTGTGAAAGCTCCAAGTTGACATTCATTAAATAATTTTTTATTATTATTTTCTAAGTACTGTGGCTCCAACGTTAATGTTTCTGGTAAATATTTGAGTACTGGACTGTTGGATTCCGTTGTTGACGTCCAGAGGGTTTGGGGTAAATTCAGTTCATGTGCAATGCTGCATGGAGAGAGGACTGTTCAATTCTTTTGCCTGAGTTCAGGCCTGCCTKTATTACAAGTCTTGTTTTTGCAAAGAAAATAAACATGTAATACCTTGAATAAAAACAATATTACAAGTTAGACAACTGGATCGAATGACCAATAATAGGAATACAAGTTATACAGGYAATATGAAATGAGAGCAAGGTCCTTAGACAACAAATGGCATCTTAAGAATCATGAGAACAGATTATACAAATKTAGCAGTTATCAGRGAGATACAGACTAGGAATAGGTCAAGGCAGTGTGAACTTAGCAGTCAGGCAGGGTTATATAAGTTATTTCCAGCAAAGTTTCATTAAAACGTCCTGTTTCATGWGATCGTTTGGTAGCACAAATGAACACATGCACACAGAAACATCATCATCAAAGGTATTGTGTTATCGTGTCACCTTTTAGCAGCTTCTGATAATAACTATAAGGTTGGTGAAAACAGTGCAGCTGTACATTGAGAAACATTGTTCTTAAACTGTTGGACTATTTGCTCACACAGAAAGTGGTGAGCCTCGCCCCATCCTCGCTCGCAAATGACTGAGCCTTTCGGGGATGTTCACTATACCAATCATGACACCCACCTGTTTCCTATTAATCTAAGATGTTCCAAGCAAGTGTTTTTAGGGCATTCCTCAACTTTCACAGTCTTTTGTTGCCCCTGTGCCAGCGTTTTTTAGAAGGTGTTGCAGGCAAATTCAAAATGAGTGAACATTTGCAAAAAGAACAATAAAGTTTATCCGTTTGAACGTGAAATATCTTGTTTTTGTAGTGTAWTCAGTTGAATATAGGTTGAAAAGGATTTTCAAATCAGTGTTTCTGTTTTTACTTTTTCTAATGTTTTACACAACATCCCAACTTTGCTGGAATAGTGAGGTTGTAAATTTTAATTCTACCTTCTGTTTTCAAGGTACAAGAACAATGTGCTCATTGATGCCAAGGCCCACCCCGAGAAGTACACGGCTGAAAGCTGTTACAACATGCACTCCCTGGAGATCAAGAAGTAGGTAATCATTCACCGCACACACACACACATACACACACACACACACACACACACACTGCTGAAACTAACARCCCAGAAAGTGTTCAGTCTCCTGCAGCACGCTGAAAGGATTAAAAAGTGTTGCAGACGATTTATTGCCTGTTTGCTTTTGTTTGGTAGCTGCGATTTCTTGGACACTGCTCAGTATTACGTGTCCGCCCTCAATGTGAAAGGAGAAGCTTCTTCAGCTGCCACCGTTGTTGTCAAAAGTAGGTTTCATCTTTCCTGTTTCCTTCAATGCAAAAATCATAGTGGGAAAGTTGAGGGTCTTTATAAACTCTGCAGAGTCCAACTCTTTTTCAGGAGTGAAATTAAATTGTTATTTTAATTTACGTAAAATATTTGTCTCAATCAAGATTATTATTTTTTTTTCCCCTACAGGGTTCCAAGATGGTCCAGAACCAGGTTTATTTGATCCTAAGCCACGTGAGATGCTTTTTATATGACCTGTCCATTTATGTTCATCTTAAAGTGAAAAAAGAAACACAATTGCAGAATTCATTGTTTTAATTTAGCATTTGAAATTTTGGGAGGGTCTAAATAGTTTCCCAAATAAGAGCATGTCTTTACAGTAATAGCTTAGACCAGACAGAGCTGTAAAGACTGAAAACAAATAAAGTTGAATACATTTCTTGGCCAAAAAAGTTACCATTTTCTCTTTGTCCTCAGATGGTTTTTGTCCTGAGCACGGCGTCACCTTCCTTACAACCATCATTGATGAATTTGATGTGGCTTTTGGCCGTGAAGGGGAAACTTTGAGTCTGGGCTGCACGGTCATCATCTATCCCACGGTGAAAAAATACCAGCCTGAAGTCGTGTGGTACAGAAACTGTAAGGAGGAAAATAAACTGAACACTGGTGCATTCGTCTTTCAAGTTAGGTTCAAACTTRTATTTAATCCTGATTCTGGTATTATTGATTYATTTCATCAGCTGTCCCCTTGAAGCCCTCTAAATGGGTGCACACCCACTGGTCTGGGGAGCGGGCCGTTCTCACTCTGACCCACCTCAACAAGGAAGACGAGGGCATGTACACTCTGCGCATCAACACAAAGTCTGGCTTCGACACCCACTCAGCCTACGTGTTTGTCAGAGGTAAAGGGTTGAAAATCATTGATGGGTGATTTCACATCAAAATGAATCCATAAAAGTTAAATTTTCTGTTTAGCTAGTTTGAWTTAGAAGGTTATCATTATGAGAGGCTGTATGGCGTCTAACTCAAACTAAAGCAGGATAAAGGTGGCCCTGTTTATTTCTGCTGCATCYATAAGTGACACAGCAGTCAGTGTAAAGTAGTTTCCTCTGAGTCATTGTTTGTCTATTTCTATCTGCATGCAGGAGCTAGTAAGTGGTTTTTTTTTTTTGTTTCAATCAAACTCCTATTTTACTGTATAATAAAAAGTCATGTATCTCAAACTGTGCTCCTAAGTCATGCAGTAAGTGGGTCAGACGAWGAAACCTGAGTGTGTAACTGAGATCTGTCGAGTTTAAAAACAGCACCATTCGGTTATGTGCGTGCTTTCTTCGAAATGTCTGTTTGGACCTCACAGATGCTGATGTGGAGGTGGAGGGGGTTCCCGTGGCCCCMCTGGATGTGCGCTGCCATGATATTAACAAGGACTATGTGGTGGTCACCTGGAAGCAGCCAGCAGTGGAGGGCAGCAGCTCCATCCTGGGGTACTACATCGACAGGTTGGTCAGAAAACAGATACATCTGCTTACATAACATAAGAAAGGTAAAATGCATAGGATTTGACCTTTATCCATGTTTGAGTGTGCACATTGTGGGGGAGAAGTGTAAACTAAAATTATTTWAAAAACACATTTTCATTATTTAGCTCACTTYCWGAGTGTAAAAYCCTAGTTAAACATTTTTCCACTAACATTTTATTGTTCACTTTTCTTATTAAATCCTAAATCTTTCTAAAGGTTAAAGTTAAATCCTAAATGTTGAAGTTTACATTTAAGTATTTTGGAAAGGAAAGCAGACTTTGCCATTGGTGCTCTGCTCTTGTTAGGATGTCATCATCCTGAGACAATAGCAACTGCTAATGCTGCTAACGTTGCTAACACTGCTAACGCTTCCCTACAAGACATCAAACGTGTRGTTGCAGTCAGTGTCAGAGCTGCACTTCAAACTTACGGACCACAGGGACCATATTGTTTTCAATGAACCGATTTTGAGTTTCAGTTTTAAAGGCCATCTTCAGCAGCGTTAGCAGCATTAGCAGCATTAGCAGCGTTAGCAGAGCCATCATCCTGCGACAAAAGCATGCATACAAATGTCTGTCTTTTAGAAAAATATCATGCACTGGGCAAATTTTTTTGCCAAATTTTATCAAAACTTGCTGAAAATATTTACATGAAAATATAAAAATAAGGGGCATTTTTTCTGCAACAAACATGAGTATTTAATTTTTGTTATATTTTGGATCATTTGTTTTGATTAAAGATTTTTGCTTTTTATTATTCTCTGCTTAGTTTTTGATTGTTGTTGTTTTTATTTTCTTTTTGTATTTTGTGAATACATAATGTACTGTATGTATGGTATCTTTTTGAAGTTGACTGTAAATCAATAAAAAATAATAAAAAAAACATGAATATATGTCAAGCCATAGTATAAAACAAATGAACTGTCATCCAAATATTCAACATTCAGGTTAAATGTGCTTGATGTTTGCAGGTGTGAGGTGGGCACTCATCACTGGGCTCAGTGTAATGATGCTCCAGTGAAATACGCCCGCTTCCCTGTGACAGGACTGGTGGAGGGGCGCTCTTACTACTTCAGGGTGCGCGCCTTGAACAACGCGGGCGTCAGCCGTCCATCCCGCATCTCTGAAGCTGTGGTCGCCATGGATCCATCTGACAGAGCTCGACTCAAAGGTAAGAGTTGGAAACCTGCTGAARCACGTCAACACAAACAAACAACTCAAATGTTTTACGTTTGATTTTTWATTTTWATTTTWWWTTTTTTACCACCAGCTGGGCCCTCAGCGCCATGGACTGGGATGATCAAGTTCACAGAGGAAGACCCCACTGGTTAGAGGASTTTTGCTGTTTTATTTATTGATATTGGGTAAAAGAAAGGATAATCAAACAATTAATTTTTAGCAAAGTCGTTATTTTTGTAAACTTTTGAAACCTAAATAATTAATTTTGGGTTAGATAAGTGTTTGTCTCTTCCTCCCTCAGTGGGTGTTGTTCCTGGAGAGCCGACGGATGTCATTGTAACTGAGGCGACCAAGAGCTATGTGGTGCTGGCCTGGAAGCCCCCRGTGCAGAGGGGTCATGAAGGCGTCATGTATTACATTGAGAAGGTCAGGAGAAATGCAGACCTCAGTTGTTAAAAAATATTTTACCTATAAAGATGTTTTTTTCTTTAATCTTTATTTTATTTTAATCATTTTAGATTAGTTGATAAGTATGCTATTCTGTAGATTAGTGTTAATTATTGCAATGTTTCACAAAAGTCTGTAAATGCAGACAGATGTTCAGTGTTTGACAGCACTGAGKATTTTTTAATCATCTTACTAAATTACTCCATAAAAGAAAAACAGCGGAGGAAAAAAAGGGTTAGTTCGATTACTGAAATGTGAAGCTTTTATCTAATTTATTGTCCTAATTTCTCTTCCATAGTGTATTTCGGGGACAGACACCTGGCAGAGGGTGAACACTGGTATGCCAGTCAAGTCTCCACGCTTCGCACTTTTTGACCTGGCCGAGGGTAAATCCTACAGCTTCCGTGTGCGCTGCTGCAACTCTGCCGGCGTGGGCGAGGCCTCTGAATCCACCGGAGAAATCGTCGTCGGAGATAAACTCGGTGAGCGGGCGGGGCTTTCGGGTGTGTCGGTACTTTTCCACAAAGGTCCCTGCTTCGGTTAACCAAGGATTTGACCTAAAATCGATTTTCACAACTGCCTGTTAAATGACCTTTCATTGGTTTTGTGTTTCGGTTGTCCTGCAGACCTGCCCTCACCTCCAGGCAATCCGGTAGCCGCCAGGAACACCGACACCTCTGTGGTGGTCTTCTGGGCTGCTTCAAAGGACGTCAAGCAATTGGTTGGCTACTACATTGAATGCAGTGTGGTGGGCACTGACGTCTGGATGCCTTGCAACAACAAGCCTGTCAAGCAGACTAGGTAGGCRGTTTTAAGAGCTTAAAAGGCCCTTTTTAATGAAGGCAAAATTTAAAACCTAACAAATGTAAAAAAAAWAATTGGTCTTACAGGGGTCAAATCWTCATTTTCAACAAATGATCTTAAATGCTTAAGATCGTCTGTTAAATATGAGTTAAACAACTTTATCTATGTGCACAGAATATAAAACTTGTGTATGCTAAGTGCTGTTGGGTAAAGTTGTTACACCCAATTTTTCACAAGTGTTCTTCCTTCAGGGCAGAATTGTCTCCCGTTTATCCTGTCTGACATTTATTTTTTATTAAATCCAAACTATCTGCAATGGATTCCTTCCAGGTTYGTCTGCCACGGCCTCTCCACAGGGCTGAACTACGTGTTCAGGGTGAAGGCAGTAAATGCTGCTGGGTACAGCCAGAGCTCTGCCAGYTCTGATGCTGTGATCGTACAAGCTGCCATCTGTGAGTACCTGCTTTGAAAGAAAAAGTTGTGTCCACGTTCACTTTTTCTGCTTTTAAATTCAATTCGTATTCACTCAATCAACTCAGCATTACTTAATCCTTCCAAATAGTTTAAAATAACCACCTATCTCAGTGGGTTTTTTTTTTACTTTTACCACCTTACCAACCCAAACTTATCAACAAGTACTGTGTGTTTTTATGATTTTAACATATGTCATTGTGTGTTTGAGTTTCTTGAATGCAATATGTTGCATGATGTTTTATGAAATAGTTCGTAACTAACAATCATGTATCTATTTTCTATTGTTTTTATCATTGTTTGACACATGTAATCCGATAATGTTGTAATAAGCGTTTCTCTTAAACTTGACCGTGCCGGAGTTCTGTTTTGCTGTTTGATGACTCATCAGGGACGCATCTTGATGCATGACCAGGCTGAAGGCTGAAACTATGTTTAAAAGAAAGCATGATCCAACGGAGAGCCTCGCCCGGCATGAAAGTTACCCAGTTTTCTGGCCTTTGAGAGTAAGTATTTGTGTGTGCAGAGCTTGCAGGTGTGTCTCCTGTAACCATAATGACATCAGCGATATATTCACCACAAACATCTGAACAATACTTGGCTAAAGCCAGGCCACCTGTTTAAGATTGTCAGAATTTACTGTCATTAAATGACGCCTATGTTCTCTCTGCACAGCTGTACCTGGGGAACCCACCGGGGTGACCTTGCTGGAGGCTGTCAAGGACTACATGGTGGTGGGTTGGACTGCGCCTGAAAACAACGGAGGAGCTGATATCAGGGGATATTTTGTGGATTACAGGAGCGTGAAGGGACAAGTCTTTGGGAAATGGCACGAAATGAATCACAAAGCTCTGACGACGACTTCCTATAAGGTCGGCTCGTTCCCCCTCACCATAGACTGCTGTGAATGGCAGCAGCTTTTGGTCATAGTTTAGACAAGAAGCTATGAATAATCAGGTTTTTTTTTTTCATTTAGGCTGAGAACCTGAAGGAAAACGTCTTCTATGAGTTCCGAGTGCGTGCAATGAACATGGCYGGTGTGAGTAAAGCTTCTCTTCCCTGCCGACCTCTGGAGTGCAAAGAGTGGACCATTACTGTTCCAGGTATGAGAAAGAAATACACAAGATGTGACAACGTGCAAAACTGAGGGAACAATTAATCCTTATTAAATTGTTTCATGACATTTAAGTGCATCTTCCAATTTCAGCTTGTTTAGTTTAGTTTAGCCCTTGGGTCAAAATGACTCAGTATCCCCAAGAGCAGCAGGAGGGTTAAKAGCGCAATACAAGCKRTGATATTTCCCAGAAGAGATTTTACAAAGTGCTTTTCAATTTTTTGCTTTGGGTCTTTAGTCTATATTGAAATGTTGTGAATCTTTCTATTTTTAAAGGGGAAATATCATGCACAACACACTTTTTTTAGCCGTTAAATGCATTTTGTTGTGTACTTGAAGTCTCTAGGAGTGCAGAAAATTCAAATTTAGTGTCTTCCGGTGCTGCGTAGATATCTTTATATTCTGTTTGGGTAATATTTTATGTTTTCAGAACAAAACCTCACGGTATTTGTGACAAAATTGCCAAATAAGGTCTGGACTTACCAACTACAGTTTGGTGATTTTCATTCTCCTCTGGCTCTGGGTCAGACTCTGGCTCCAACATGTAAGGCTGAATGGACAAGTCTTTGCAATTCATTTGTAAATAAAAAGTTTCTGCGCCACTATATAGGGGGCGGGGTTTGGATTTAAAGACACAGCCTCAAAAGCGAGTTGATCTGAGACACACCTTAGAAAATGGGTGATAGAGGGGCTTGTGGCATTACAATAAGGAGGAATTCAGACCAAACCATTGCAGGTCCACATATAGACCCCAAATGAATGATTTGAATATGAAAAAGAAGGATTCAAAAGCAAAAATGTCTCTTTTAAGTAAGAACCTAACATTTTTCCAAAGTTTATTAAATGATCCTTTTCACCCCCAAAGGGCCTCCTGTGGGTCTTCACGTGCAGGAGGTACGCGACACCTCAGTGGTGGTTCTGTGGGAACCCCCTGCATTCAGCGGCCGCAGTCCCGTCAACGGCTACTACTTGGACATCAAAGAAGCCTCTGCCGGGGAAGGAGGCTGGAAGGCTGTACACGAGAAGTGCAACAAGAGCAAGTTCATGAAGGTAAAGATTTAAGTACATTTAGACTCATGTGTGAAATATTTATCATCCGTGTTGTTTCGAACTGCCCACTCCTGCACTCCTCGTGCACTRATTCAGGTGACTGGGCTGAGTGCTGGAACATCCTACGTCTTCCGCGTGCGCGCTCAGAATCTTGTCGGAGTTGGAAAACCTTCAGCAATCTTGGGTCCAATCCTGGCCCAGACTCGCCCCGGTGAGTGGGATTCTTATGTAACTTTTGCATTCAGTCGCACTGTGTTCCTACACAAGTTAGAAAAATAAGAAAAATATATTTAGGAGTTTTTTTTTCCTGTTTATCTTTATCAACGTCTCGACTGACTTTCTTGGCACGCGTTACAAAGTTCTGCTTTTTTAAAATGACTGACATCCCAGTCAAACTCGTAATTTACTTGTTTGTGTTCATTTTGCTTTTAGGCACCAAGGAGATTTACGTGGATGTCGATGACGACGGTGTGATTTCTATGATGTTTGAGTGCTCTGAGATGAGTGCAGGCTCACAGTTTGTTTGGTACAAAGATTACCTGGAGATCACCGACCCATCTCGCCTGACTATTGTCAGCAAAGGGAACAAGTAGGTATTCTTACTGTCCCCTAGAAGGAGTTCAACTTGAACAACGCAAATACGCTTTCTTTTCCCTCTCATCTGCAGATCCAGAGCTATCTTCAACAGTCCTTCMCTGGAGGACCTGGGCACCTTCTCCTGCGTGGTCACCAACACAGACGGCATTTCCTCCAGCTACACCCTCACTGAGGAGGGTGAGTCAGCCCACAGCGTTGGCAGTCTAAACTCATCTGGGTTATCCTGTTTGAACAGCTGCTTGKTTTATCTCATCATACACTGGGCCGTACCTGGTATTGACTCAGATCATTCATTGCTGTTATCCATTCACCTGTTTCCTTCCTTGTCTTTTTGTCTTTTTTTATATTTTGACAGGTCTCTTGCGTCTTTTGGACCTCAGCCACGAGCACCAGTTCCCTGGTGAATATTAAAACACAGCACACATTATGCTTCCGAGAACTTTTTAATCCAATATCAAATGCAATGTTTGGAAAGGACAATGTCCAGTTTTGTATGTCTCGGATGTGTATAGCTTATCTGAAAATCAAAATATATGTTTTTAGCCCCACAAAAGCTTGAATAACCCTGGTATTTTCTAGTTATTCCCTTCAAGAATGAAATGGCCATGGAGCTGCTCGAGAAGGGCCGGGTTCGATTCTGGACCCAACTGGAGAAATTCACTTCTGCCTGCCAAGTGGAGTACGTCTTCAATGATGTCATCATCCAGGAAGGAAAGGTACAAAAATCAGACACGGGTATAACTTGACTCTTTACAGCTTGCTGATATGATCTGTGTTTTGTTTGTTTCTTTCACTGCTTCCAGAAATACACCATGAAGTTTGATAAATCCACCGGCATCATCGAGATGTTTATGGACTCATTAGAGGTCACCGATGAGGGAACATTCACCTTTAACCTTGTGGATGGCAAGGCTAAGGGTACAACCAGTCTGGTGCTAATTGGGGATGGTAAGATCTGAATTACAAGCTTTGCTTCTTTTTTTTATTAAAGATATATTCAGATTCATCAGCATAAATATAGAGTTTCAGCTGGCGTCTGTAGATGCTGTCTTGCATGAAAAGCCTTTCTGCAGTTTGATTTTATGTCCACTGAGGGGCAGCAGTGGAAAATCTTCCATTACTTGTGTGTACTTGCCTTCTAAAGATTTTTAGACTTTTTGCTACAAGACAAAAAACATGTTTAATATTCAAAAAGCGTGTTTTCTTGTTCAGAATTCAGGGCGCTTCAAAAGAAATCAGAGTTTGAGCGGGCTGAATGGGTCAGGAAACAAGGTAAGAAGTTCACCTCCRTCACATTAAGGCTCATTACATCAGCATGTTTCTCTGATTTATGTTCTGCTTGCTTTCTACAGGTCCTCATTTCGTGGAGTATCTTGGCTTTAGTGTTACTCAAGAATGTGATGTGCTGTTGAAATGCAAGGTAACACGGAACTGTAAATAAACAGAGAGCTTTTTCTATTATCATTCAGGTGACTCGACTTAATCTCTCCTTTCTTTTATAGATTGGAAATATCAGACCTGAGACCGAGATCATTTGGTCCAAGGACTCCAACGAGATTGCAGAGGATGATGAGGACGCTAAGAAAATTGAGAAAAAGGATTGCGAGCTGACCTTTAATATTGGAAAGGTCAGTCTATTAGAAGGAGGCTGTACTTTGTGAGGATACTTCAGGGTAAAAAGCTAAAATCGATTGTGATGCAGCTATGCTTTCATTTTAAATCTTGACTAGATGCCACGCTGCCACCCATCCCTCTCTGACAGGCATGAATCACAATCAATGATTTCTTTTTAAGGTTTAACCTTCCTGAGTCCATCTGTCTAATTTACAGTGGGTTATTAAGGAAGAGAAAGAGAAAAAGAAACAAAGAGGAGGAAAAAAACCATCTGCAAAGGACGTTTCCCTGCCGCCAAGACCTAAAGTCTGGACATAATCACTCTGCCATAAGTTTACTCCTGTTGCCTCCATGTGTCCTCCTTGTCTTACCTTTTTCATGTTGTCCTCTGTTCTTTCACGAATTTAACGCCTGCAGCATCACGGGCTGGAGAAAAGCTTGACTTTTCGGTTTAATTGGTCTCCGTCTGGCTTTCCGGTTGTCTGTCGACTGTCCCAAGAATGAGATTGTGTCGCCGTCATTTAATGAAGGGAATTTATTACTGTCTTAAGGATACTTATGTGACGTTTTCCTCTGCGCCCTAGATCTCCAAGCAAGACGCAGGTTTTTACGAGGTCTTCCTGAGAGACGACAGAGGAAAAGATAGGAGCACCTTCAATCTGACAGACGCAGGTGACTTCTCCCTGGTTGAGTTCGTGAGCAGAAAATGAGATGGAAAAGTGAACTAAAGTGCTTTTGATGTTCAATCAAAGAGGAATTCATACATTTCATGTTAATTAAAAACGCTCTTTGTTTTCCCCAGGATACCAAGCTGTGATGAATGAGCTGTTTAGAGTTATCGGTGAGTCAGAATTCAAAATAACCAAGACGTGTTCAAGAACAACAGAGTTATAAACCCGTTTGAGCACAAACAACGTTACGTAAAAATTTCTCAAACATTATTGAATAATATTACAATTTTTGATTTCCGTCGGATGTTAACGAAACCCCCATTTCTGTTTCTCTTAAAGCCAACTCCTCCAGTGAAATCCAGGTTAGGAGTACTGAAAGTGGCATCGTCCTCTACTCCACGGTCACATATTATGACGAGAACCTGCGCATTGGTTGGCTTCACAAGTAAGCTCATTTTAAAAAAGACAGAAACAAACTTTTCTTTTCAAATGAAATTTTGAAAATATTTTAGGAAACCACAGGCACCACGTTCTTTCTACTAAAAAGAACAGGTACTATCCTGCTTTTTATTAGCACTCAGTTCAAAGGGCCGATATTCTGTGTTTCTCAGGCATACATTTAAATACTATACCATAATAAAGTATCTATGTCACTTTAGCTGTTATTAAAATGCTGTTTTTATGTTTAAATAGACAATAAACTTATCTTCTCATCACTTCCTCTTCTAAA